AGAGAGAGAGAGAGAGAGAGAGAGAGAGAGAGAGAGAGAGAGAGAGAGAGAGAGAGATGCAAAGCCTGCAAAACTTCGTGGTGCTGTCAACTTTCATTCCTCAAGGTCTTTTTTCCGAACTTGTTGATATTATTAAAAAAAAGAAAAAAGAAATGTTAACGAACATCCTGACCGACAGTGGCCGCCATGGAAATGAGACGGGGTGGTCACGATGTAGGGCACGGTTGGCCGAAGAGGCTGCATTGGAACCAAGGCAGAGGGGTTGGCCGCGATTCTGTGCCATGCTGCTTTGGAATCAAGGCAACGGTGATGGACAGGGTGTTGTGCCATGCTCACTGACTTGCCTGGTGCTCTGCAAACTGAGGTAGAGGCAGTAGCACTTGTTTCTTGCTTCATTTGATCTTACTACGGGAGGAAGGGGTTCCTGCCGCAATCCCCACACTAAACCGACATCCACGTCCATCTGGTTTGGAGGAAACTGGCCGTCCCGGACTTAACTGCTACGAAGAAGCACAGCCAGTCATGAACACCAGCCATACACCCAATTAGGTGAAACATTCTTCCTTCCAGTGATAAATGCAGCAAATAATGTTGGTGGGCTTCAACAAGGGGGGGTAGGGGGGGATAGGGGGGGGTAGTGGGGGGGTTCGATGGGCTCGAATAGCTTGTTCCACCCTTTCCCTTGCCACATATGCTTCTGCCCCCAAATACGAGGAGGATAAGTTTGAAGAGGAGGATAAGTGTAAGCTCAAACGAGGGCACCGCAGGTCGACTTTGGAGATCTCAGTTACTCCGTGGGCCATTGCGAGAGCTCCGCCAACGCAGCCTGTGTTTTACGAATGGAACACTTTGTTCAGAGGAGAGTCATGCTGATCATGTAAGAGAAATACCCTTCCTACAGGTGATCCTAAGTGCAACGAGCTGTTTATTGAGTTAGCGAGAGGTGTGTTTCAATTGTTTTGTTGTGGCTTTGAAATGACAGATACAATGTATCGAAGTTGAGAGAGTATTGCCTTCACGTCATAGTATTGAATTTTGAAGCGTTTGCTGCTAATGAAGATTTTCGGCGGATGGTTCGATCCCTTCCACCGCTCCCACCTTCCGAGCCAAGCACAAGTGCAAGCAGAGGGTTGTCTCCACATAGAGGTGATGATGTTGCTGTGCAGGTTCCACGTGGAGTGTTCGTGATGGATGATGACATTGGAGAACCCGAGAGTGAAGCTAACCTGCTTGAAGACTTGCGGGAGAAGTGGCTAGAGGTGGAGGGAGGAGAGGGAGAGGAGAGAGATATTACGGCTGCCTCCTTTGATGAAATGATTGAAGCATGGCGAGCAATGGATGAGGTTTCTTAAGCTAAGTCTTGTAACATGTCATCGACCGTTTGTGGGGGGGGGGG